GAGGAAGCCCCAAAGACTCTGCCTCGTGACACCAGCACAGCTGGTTTAGATGGCACCCAGGACTTACCACGTCACCAGCCAGAAGGCAGCACCCAGGACTTACCACGTCACCAGCCAGAAGGCAGCACCCAGGACTTACCACGTCACCAGTCCGATGACTTGGAGCTAGAGCTTGAGCGACTGGTTGACGAGCTTTTTTCGGATGATGATCCGGGCATGGACGTTGATGATGCTGCGCCACAGAGTCCACTCGTCCTGAGTGAGAAAGCAACACACCTCTTCGAGTGTTTGGCTAAAGCCAAAGCTTCATCCAAAAACTGGCTCTCGCCAGCAAGCAAGAGCTCCAAGAACGAATCTGAGCCAGCACAAAGCTCCGGAAGCAAGGTTGGCGACAGACGGAGGCGTTCTACTAGCTCAGGGCGAGACATGCCAGAGAATGCTCAGCGCAAGCTGCGTTTCCCACCTCACTTGAACCTGCCAAAAGAAGCGATCCACCTCTCGGATTCCGACTAGCGCTTCTAAGCGGTGTCGGTTGCCATGGTGGCGGTGTGCAAAACAGTCTTCCGATAACCCTTCTGTGTTCGCTGAGTAAGCTTGCCGGGTAGTTCCCTGATGACAGCCATTGAACTCAGGGTTCTTGTTTTTGTGTCTTGCAGCGATTTGTTTGGCTCCACAAGCCCCTCAGCTCCCACACTCGTCCTCCCCTGCCCCGCAGCAAGCATGACAGATGCCCCGGACCAGGAGATGCCTCAGAGCATCATGTGCATCAGGTGTGAGGAAGAGACAAGCATCTTGACGAGCTACCCAACTGGAAGGAACTGCTTGAGGCGGATCTGCTCCTGCTGTTCGTCCACAGACCGGTGCCTCTGTCGGATGGCTAAAGCACCGAAGAAGGGCTCTGCCGAAGAAGCCAAAGAAAGCGAGGAGGCCAAGAAAGCTCGAAAAAGCGCTGAGGCCCTGAGGGGAAGCGTGGCCAAGATGGGTTCCTCGGAGCGTGCCCAGTGGTACCGCCAAGAGAAACGGAAGCGGGCAACCGAGTCAAAGAAAAGCCGCAGGACCTTCGCAACGGCAGTGGGGGCCTTGGAAGCGACTCGCCAGACTGGGAACGAAGATTGCAGCGGCTCACGATACATGACCCCCCGCGACTGGTGCGCACGGGAAATGATCCTGAAGCAGTACAGTACCTTGGAGGATGCTATGGTAGCCTACGAGCAGCGCTGCACAGATCCGGACGTTGTGACCAAGGAGATCAACGGGGAACTCTGCCTCCGGGTCAACAACGGAGGTCTGGAAAATGTCGTGGACCGCCATACCGTTGCAGCATCCGTGCGGCAGCGGACTGACCTTGGCGATGGCGAGCAGCTTGATGGTTTCGAAGAGGAAATCGCACCTCGCATGAAACGTGCTTCTGACAAGCTCCAAACAGAGCGGCTTCTGTCAGAGCAGCAGGGCAAGCAGGCCTACGTTCCGGCCGTCGCGGTGCGACGAGATTTGGAGCAAGAGAAGGAAGTTGCTGAGAACAGAGCTGCTGAATTTCAGCAGCAAGCCTTGGCACTCAAGGAGAAAGCTGATCAAAAGAGGAAAGAGTTGAAGGAGAAGCAAGCAACCCAGCTTCCCTCCTTGGCAGTGGCAAAGCTCAGCCTCACCAACGCTATCCACAAGGCAAATGCTTCGATGTCCGAGCTGTTGAAGCGTCAGAAGGCCACAGCAGACACCTTGTGCAAGGACTTGACGAATGCTTTGTGCATGTCAGACGTCCCCGTGAAGAGAGAAGCCGAGGAAAAGACGAAAGTGCTGAATGGCAAGATCAAGGACCTGGAGACTGCCATGGAGGAGTCCATCGCAGAATGGAACACCAAGGCTGGTGACGAAAGCCTTGACATCGAAGCCATGGTGTCAATGGAGAAGGATCTGGCAGCCTACATGAAGGAGTGGCACCTTGGCAAGCACTGCCAGGCAGTGTTGGACACGAAGCAGCAGATTAAAAACTTCCGCGAATTCACCTCAGACTGCAAGAAGGAGGTGAAGAAGCGGGACAAGCTGGCCGCGAAGGCGACAGTGAGGGGTTCGAACAAGAAGGCCAAGCTTGATCATCCGAACAGCCAGGCAGCTGCCGAGACCCCCGCCTTGGTGGTCAATCTGTTGAAGCACCTCAAGGAGAACCCGCTTCCCGATGAAACCATCAACTGCGCAACGGAGCCAGAGGATGAGATGACAGTGCCCCTTCTGCTCCCACCAACGCCGATGGAAGGCTTTACCCGGGATGTGACCCGGCACGAGTATTACAGCGAGCAAAAGAAGTGGGTGGAGCAGATGCTGCTGAGGAGCAGCCAGAAGTATTCGTGTGCGGTGGTCACCAGAGACAATGTGGCCAGGCCCTTCTTGCAGCAGCTGGACCAGATCCTGCCGGTGCCACTGCGTTCCGTGGCACGACCCTCGAGCAAGGAGCTGCAAGAGATCTGGCAGTTGTACTTTTACCAGATGGCCGGGGACTCCGGCCGCCTCTCGATGTCCACTGACTGGGGCTTGCCCGAATTGCGCATCTGCTGCGAAGGCAAGGAGATCTACTTGGGGTTCCCCGTGAAGAAGCTAGCCGGCAACACGACGGCCGAGATGCTGCAGCACCTGGAGCGGATGCGTGCAGAAGAGTTCCTCACGGCAGTTGAGCGGGATGGCTGGTGTGTGACATGCCGCCCTGGGAGGGGAGTCGTGCTGCCCACGAATTGTTTGTTCGTTCATCTGAGCCTGCAGGGACCTGAGACCTGCCACGGAGCCAGGATTCACATCGTGTCTGACAAAAGCCTCCAGACGGCTCTCACTCACCTGGAGAGGCAGGTCCAACAGGACCCGACACTGGAGTCCAAAAGAACCGGCCAGCTGCTGAAGTGGATCCGCGAGAGGTGAACTGTGCGGCATCCTTAGCGTCCAGGCTGCAGCTTCTGCTGCTAACCTGTGACCTTATGGATCATTCACCTTGGCTTCGTGGCTGCCACTGTTGGCTACCCACTTGCCTGCTCCCCGCAACCCCATCTCATCGGGGTGCGGTTTTTAACAGTTGTTTTCGGCAGGGGTGCTGCTTCGCAGCTATCCCTTCGGCAGGGGTGCTATCCTGTGGGCTGCTGCTTTTGCAGCTAACCCATCGGCAAGGGTGCTGCTTCGCAGCTATCCCTTTGGCAGGGGTGCTGCTTGGCAGCTACACTGTGGGCTGCTGCTTTTGCAGCTAACCCATTCTTGCCTTTTTCCGAATCCTGGGAAGATACAACTGACACCAAGACGTGCGGGAGAATAGTGGGATCAGCGTCTGAGAGCAGAGCCTTAGGACTAGGACAAGTACAGACCTCAGCAGTATCTGAAGCTGTAGGCTCTGGAGAAGCGGTTTGGGTACACACTCGTGCTTACTGTTGAGGTCGGGTTTCTCAGGGTGTTACTGTGCACAGTGTCACCGGGTTCCCTGTCAGCCAAGCTTCACTTTTGAAGCTTGCAAAGGGATGTATCGATTCAATCTGCTCTCAGACAACCCACAAACAAAAAAGTTGTGGGCCAAAGCCCTAGGGCCGTAGGGAGTCCTGGGTGTCCGGGGTTATGTCAGGAGTTTCGGGGGGGGGGACGGGGTTGTGTTCGGGATGTTCCGGAGGGGGTGTCCGGGATGTCCGGAGTGGTGTCCGGGGTGGTGTCCGGGATGTCCGGGGCATGTCCGGGGCATGTCCGGGGCATGTCCGGGGCATGTCCGGGGTTGTGTGTCCTGAGGTCTGTGTCCCGAGGTCCCACCCAAGGTTTATGCATTAATATCATCTAGGATGGGACAGGGGAGAGCATTTGCTGTACTGCTGCATTTCATGAACCGCAGAAGTTAAGCTCTGTCAGTTTCGGTGTTGAGCGGTGTGCCTTTCAGGATGTCCAGCCAACGTTTGTTCGATAGCCAAGTGATGCTGGACAACGACTCTGTGCTGTTCGACAGCCAGGTTGATCCAGGGACTTGGGCAGCGGGGCGCACGTTGGCTTCACCGGTTGTGCCTGCTGCTAGTTCTACTGCAGTGCACCAGACTGGCCTGAAGCGCAAGAATGCATGCCTGGAATGGGAAGGCGATTTTCCAGACACCCAGGTAGAGCTGTATCCGCCGCCTACTATCGTGAATATCAACGAGGACCCAAGCCCAAAACCGAAACCCCGCAATGAGGTGGCTGAGAAGTCCTCAGAAAAGTCCTTGCAAGAACAGCTAGAAGCCTCCCAGTCGAAGGTGAGTGAGCTGCAGGAACTGAACAGAACTCTGCACTGCAAAGCCGCGGAGTTAGCACAGCAGCTGGTGCAAGTGATGGAGGAAAAAAACAATCTTCTGGCTGAGAAGCATGCGAAGATGATCGCTGACTTGAGGGTGATGCGTTCTGCCCGCGAAGAGCTTGACGAGCTTTTGGATCTTAATTTTGATGACGACGACGATCAATGCTGAGAAGCAGTTCCTGAGGCTTGGCCTTGAAGTTTCTGTTGCCGTCCTGGCTGCTGGGGAGCTTTTTCAGCCAATGCAGTTTTTGGCCACGGGCCGCAGACTTTTCATTCAGGGCAGCAGGCTCAGGGTGCTACCGCGAAGGCTTCGCGATGCGCCCAGTGCCAGCCGCCTTGAAGAAAGAGGCTCATGGGTAGTATGTATACGGCTAGAAAGGCAGGGGAATGCAGGGGACTACAGAAACCAGGTGCTCCGAGCGTGAGTGTCGGAACAGTGGAAAAAGAGGACCTGAGCTTGTGTAGTTTCTGAACGGTAATAGGGATGTGTTATGGGCCTTGTTAGGGAGGGTTTTGGACTGGCGAGGGCTTGTGCGTGCTACCAGAAAAGGACCGATTTTGTTTCAAGGGGACGTGTTTTTTTTGGTTGGGAAAACGCAGCTTTTGAGTGAACGGTTTAAACCCTATTAGAACGAATGCAATTTTTCTAAAACGGTTCATAACCTTTTTTTATTTCGACCCCGTTTGCAGCAAGGGTTAACGCCCCCCGGGCCTAGATGAATCACTTATACCGTCGTCTGGCCGTAGGGGTCGCCACCGCGCGAGCCATGTGCTTCAGCTTGGCATAGGTCCGGATCAGGAAGTGGTAATCGTAGCGCCCCCCGTTGTGAAAGCAAACCGTGATCTCAGTAGGGATCTGAGCAGCATGATTGCAGCCCTCGCATAAAGCAGCGAGCCAAGAGCCCGTGCCGTGCTCGTGGTGGGCCACCTTGACGACGTCGCGGCCAAAGTGCCTGCCGCACTCCCGGCAAACCTCCGCCCTTCGATGCATCTCGCGGTGCTCGGTCGTCCAAACCAGTCGCTTCTGCATGTTGACGCGCCAGTCCGTGTAGTCCCGAAGCAGGTGCTGGAGCGAGTTGAGGAACCTCAGCACGACGGCGTAGTCGGACTCGCCCTCCACGGCGTGATCCATCCAAAGCTTGTGCTCCTCCGGAGGTTCGTAGCCACAAGCGCCCACGGTGACGTAGGCGGCCGCAGCCACCTTGTTCTGAACGCCTTCGACGGCGGCATTCGCCGGGGCCGTTTTGCTGAACACCTCCAGGTCCGCGTAGACGATCACGGGTGCAAGCTCGCACGAGCTCTTGGCGAAGTACTTCAGCTCGGCCCGAGCGGCGGAGGGCATTTGGATCTGGGACCGCCGCCCCTCGAAGTCGTGGCGGCACGCGCCGGTCCTGAAGTGCGTCCTGAGAGCCAGCTCCGTCCTGAAGTTGGCTCGGCAGATGGGGCAGCAGTGCACATTGTTACCAGAGCGCCAGCGAACGTCAATCTGGGAGCTGCGCTGGCTCACAAAGGCGTTAAAGTTGTACACTAGGACGTAGTGGCCCTCGACAAAGAGCAGGACCACCACTCTCGTCGTCGGGGTTCGAGCCTCTACCACTTCTTGCAAGGGAGTGCGAAGCTGCGTCTCGCCAACCCTCCTGGTGCCCCGCCACATCTGCTCCACCCAGCCGTAGACAACGACCTCGACCTTGCCGACGTTCGCCATCTCGAAGTCGCCGATCTGGTCGAAGGTGACCTCGTCCGAGTCCACGGCTCCAAAGTCAAGCCCCACACTGACGAGCTCCCGGAGCTCGCTGCTTGCCGCTGGGCGTCCACGACCGCGGTTTTCCGCGTAGAAAGGCTGTCCAGTGCAGCGCACCGTGTGGAGACGCTGGGCTGCTGACATGTCTCCGATGCCCAAGAACGCAGCGCGGATGCAGAACTGGCAGAACTCAAAGCAGCGCCCTGTCACCTGAGGGCACCAGATGCCCTTTTTCTGGTTGAGCGACTCCGGCAACCTGACGTTGCATCCACCGGCTGCTCGACGCGGCGGCGCGATCTCCAAGCCTGGTGCCACCAAGACGTCGATCCACTCCAGGTCCGTGACGATCCAGCCGCTGCCCGGCAGGGTTATCCGCTCGGCAGCCGACTCCAGGCGCCATCGGAGGGTGGTGACGATCTTGTGCATGCGGTACTCGGCCTCAGCAGCCGGCTGACTCCTCCAAGGCGTGACGTTCTGCACGAAGACGTCTTGAACCAACTCGCCAGACTCAATCTTTTCGATCCTGAGCCCCACCAAAGCTTTCACATGGAAGGGGAAAGGAGCCTCGAGGTGTCGTCGAATTCGTGGCTTAAGCAAGTACAAGGACTTCTCAGTCAAGCCTTCGCCTTCCAGTCGAAAGCGCGCCAGCCAAGCGCGGGGGATCCGCACTTGTTGAGTGATCCTGACTCCGTCCATGTTCGACGGTCGCTTGAATTTGTGCTTGGGCAAAATGCCAAATCTCGCAAGACCCGCGCGTCGCGGACAGCTAACACTGAACATGACTGGCAACCTACCAAGCCTACCGACAGACGCGGGCTGCAAACAGGCCTCCTCGAAGCTTCGAAGACGGCGAGGACCTGGGCCATACTTGCAAGACGTGCCAACTCACAGCTAGCAGCTACCACGCACCTACTTGCAGCACGCTGGAGAAGCTTTTTGAGAAGCGGAACGCATCGCTCAAAGCCCGCAGTAGCCCCAGTATACCACCGTTCCGTCACCCAGCACGGCCGCAAACGAAGCGCTGCTCGATTGGATGTGTTGGACGTTCTTTAGCTGCTCCCGCACGGTCTCGATGTCGCAGCCCTCCCTCCACGCCTCGCCCCACTGGCTAACGCTGCCGTCAAGGTGGATGGCCGCGAATGCATCATTGGCGGATTGGATCTCCACCATGCCGTCGACCAGAGCGGCGAAACCGGAGCTACCGGCTTTGATGCGCCGTCCCAGGAGCATCTGAGCGCCACCCGTGTCGACTTGGCCCCAAGTCACCACGGAAACCGGGGTGATGGCTGCGAAAGCGTTAAAGCTGGCGGCAATCTCTGTCACGTCTTTGAGCTGACCCTGGACTGCACTGCTGTCGCCACCACACCGAGCAAGGCCCCAGGTGACGACGGATCGGTCCGCTCGGGTCGCCGCGAAGGCGAAGCCCGAAGCCTGGATCGCCGTCACATCCTTCAGCAGCTCCCGGACTTCGCTGCTGTCGCCACCCCGTTCCGGACATCCCCAGGTGACCACAGATCCATCCATCCGAATGGCTGCGAAGTCGAAGTCAGTTCCCAGCAGGCCCAGATGCCTATATTCTGGTGTACCATGATGAGACCATACTTCATCTGACAGACCCTCGGCGGCCCACCCGCCACCGCAACCAGATCGCCGCCGCGTTGGGCATAGCTCTGTCGTCTTTGCAGCTCCTGCCTGCCGTGCCTCGAGTCACGGATGCCACCCTCAACGGGCTTGTTTGCCGCACCGTCCTCGCCGTTTGCGATAGATCGGAGCAAGGCTCGATGCCCTGGTGTGCGGTCCTTCTTGACTTGCGTGCTTTGGGCCGGGGCTGGAAGGCTGTCACAGCGGTCCGGCACCAGCTGTCTTGCGACACTTTACGTGAGGAGCTTGATCAGGGTTCCCCAGACGGTTGGCAAGCCTGCCTGCACGATATCCCTGATGGGCTAGATGAGATAGATGTACATCCAGGACAGGTTCTAGTTGCGTACCTCCGCCCTGGCCGTCTAGCCGTCCCCGCCGCTGCGGCCCTGCGGGCGCTTGCCGCAGGCCCTGCAATTCCTATACTTGCACCTGCCCTTGCAGCCACCGCCAATGATGATGCCGTGCCACTGACACACCCGACAGGGCCCCCGCGGTCCTTTGGCCCTCCTAGCCAGCCTACTGACCGTGCAGTGCCTGAAGGACCGGGAACCGACCCGGCCTCGGATATCTCTGTAGAGGATGACAGCACTACTGTGTTGCCCGCCAGCGTGCAGGCAGACTACCTCCCTGGTACCTTTCTTGTTCTGGCACAAGATTATTGTCCCGAACTTGTTCATGCTGGGAGCGAAACATGAATGGTGCGCGACATCTGTCCTACGCTCACAGCTTCCAGCACAACAGCTCGCAGAGTCCTATACGTTCAAAGAGTCCTATGCTCACAGCGTCCCGCACAACAGTCCAAAATGCATGCAGACAGAGACCCGGACGGCTGCACCGAAGCGACGATGAAGGAGACCTGGGATCAGGAAAGGGGGCCCGGGGTTCCCGGGAATGCGAGGCGGCCTATAACAAGGATACCCCAAAACCCTTACAGCAGCGACCCTTGCTCCTGCACTCGCGCACACAGACAAACCTGCGGCAGCCTCGGAAATCCCAAAACCACCTCAGAAACAAAGCCCTGAATCCTTCAAGCTCCAGGCCCAACGAGTCGTAGCCAGCAGGCCTGAGCGACACGAGCTTAAAGGAGATTCGGGAAGCAACCAGCACTCCTGCCAGACAGCGTCGCAGGCTGAATTTTGGGAGCCCAAGCTCGAAGACGGTGCAGGAAAGACCTGATCAGTCAATGTGACTTCGAATGCTTTGCTGGAGTCGCCCACGGCAATCCGCGACCTGGTCGCTCGGCAAAGGTCGAGCCGCCCGGCCCCGCCCAGCTCTGTCCCTTTGAGGCGCGGCACGGGTTGAAAGCAAGTTCCAAGCGACAAAAAAACAAGCAATCAAATCGCAACCCCCTAGCCATTTTAAGGACCTGCGTCCCTTATATAAAACAAAACAGCAGGGCCTCAAAGAAGTTTTTAAATCCAAAAGGGTTTGGGGAGGTTCGAAAAGAGGGTTTAGGGTTGTTTCATAGCGCGATCGAGCCAACTGTACACAGAGCCCGCGGGCTTGAACCGACTGTACATGCGTCGTCGTCGTCGTCGCGTCTATCCTACTCTACCCTAGTGGGGCACGCTGAGCTGGGGCCTAGAGTCGATGATCCACCCTTGTGGGGAGAGGCTCTAGGTTGTGGCACGGCGGTCCCAGGCTAGGGCTAACCACCGGCGGTTGTCAGGTTCGCCGGGACCCCTGAGGACTCTCCGCGCCGGTCCGCGAGGCACCGGGGAGCTCTCCAGGAAATGGAGGAGCTCCGAAGCCTCACCCTCTCAGTCCCCCTCCGAGGGGGGCTGTCGGGGAACGGAATGCTGCCCGTTTTTTTGCAGCATCTGTCGCCCCCAGTCGGGGCGTGTGGGGAACGAAACTATGGCCTTTTTTTTTGCAGCTTTTTTCGACAAAAGAGCAAAGTCGGAATTCCGACCTTGCTCCCAACACTCACATTCAAGCCATTTGTTCATCAAAAAAACGGGCCGGTGCCACACCTCGACAAATCTGTCGAACGCTGGCAGTGCCGCTACAGGACGCTCAAAAGCTCCGAATTGGTGGCCCGGGAGCAGCCCATGTAGAGATGCTTGAGCGTGAAGTGCGGGCTCTCCACATCGTAAAGCCACACCCTCCCTCGCAGGGTCAGCCCCTGAACCGAAGCATAGGTAATTGCGCTGCAAAGCCTGGTGTGCTTCAGCAACTCCGGGCCCGCAAAGCATTGCCCGCTCTCCAGGCGGACGACGTCCCCTTCCACGGCTTCCACGGTCAGGAAGGTGCCCTTTTGCACTTTGCCACCGGCCCCGATCAATCGCAGCCCCGGCCAGACCCTCATGGTCTGCGGCGCATTCGTCGGCACCGCCCCGCGAGCCTCGTACGTCACCACCAGTGCATCGGCGGGCGCAAGCCGGCGGTTATCCCGCTCGTTGATCTGCAATCGCTTCGCGTGGGAGATGACCAGGCTCACATCGGGCTCTCCCCGCCTCGGGAAGCGCCGCCGGGCCTCCCGCACCGCTTCGGGCAGTGGCACCTGCGCCGGCTCGTCGACTCTCAGCCAAGTCAGGAACTCGAAGATCCGCTCGTCGAAGCGCCAGCGCTCCGAGAGCTCGTGGCACCAGCCCCCGGCCAGATCGTGCAGCAGCTGGCTGTCTTTCAGTTCCTTGCAGACCTCTGCACCCGCGAAGCTATCGAGCACCGCGGGCAGCTGCCTAAAGTCTCCCAAGAGCAGAAACCGAATCTTCTTGTTCATGCTCAGACAAGCTATATCAGCCCACAAGGGAGTATCTAACTGAGTGAGCTCTTCGATGACCAGCCAGGTGGCGCTGCAGTGCCCGTTCCGCACATTGCGCCGCACCCAGTGGTCCGCCGTCTGCGCCCCCAGGCCCACGTTTTGCACGGCCGCATGAGTCTTCGTAATTATGTGCACCGTGTCCCCGTGCTCCCTCAGGGCTTCGACGATCCTCTTGGCCAGATGGGTTTTGCCCGTCCCCGGAAAGCCCGTCAGCAACAGGCTCTCGCCGTCCAGGCAGTGGGTCACAGGGTCCTCCACGCGCCGCCACGACGCCTTGGCTCGGATGGGGTCCGCCTCCATGCTGGGCTCCCGATACTGGCCCTTCAGCCCGGTGACCTCCTCGTAGCGATACACAGGTGTGCCGTCCCGGTGGGACATCTTCAGTAGCCGCTCCACGGCGGGCCGGTGCTTCTTGGGGACGTCCTGCATCACAAGACAATCGGTCTTGATGCATTTGAGGTACCGCCGGGGCACCTCCGTCAGAGCCTGGCGGATCCGCGCCACCGCGACGTACTCAGCTCCCATGATGAAGTCGTGTATCGGCCGATAAGAACTGTTGGACAGCAGCTCCGTCACAAAGATATGGTCCCAGTGAGTTCTCCCGGCCGCATCCGTGAAGGTCTGGCGCCAGCTGCAGCCCTCGCCGTCGACTTGATGGTTTGAAGTCTTCATACTATAGACTAATTCTAGATTCCGAGCAAACAGACCCACGAGGCTGTTGATGGCCAGCTTGGCGTAGTGCTCCTCGCCTTCGGGCCAATTGTGCTCCATGCGCTGCAGGACCTGTTCGAGACACTGCTGGTCGACGTGGGCTGTGGCGTCCAGGCTCCACTTGAAGTGCTGCCACTGGGCGAGGCCCGCCTCGAGCAAATAAGCGCACACGGGCTTGGCATACCAGCCCCTGCCGACGAAGGGCAAGCGATCCAGCACGCCCTTGCGATGGTCACAGGGCAGGTCGACCCACATGAGGTCCGCCAGCTTGCCCTCCTCCGCGGGGACGATGCAGTCCAGCGGGCAGAACACCGGCAGCGGGAAGCGAGCGTTGGCCAAGCCGTTCTTCCGGCAGCGGCACACATCGATGCCCTGGCAGGGTCGCAGGTCATCCCACTTTTGCAGTTGGAACACCAACGGCGGTAGCCTGGGACTGGCTGCGTAGTTCTGGTACACGTACCGACAAAACCGACTCTCGAGAGTGGTGCTGTGGTTGCCCTCCAGGCTCGTCTTGGTTCGATGACACTCCAAGCACAAGGCTTGCAGCTCCAGCTCCTGGCCGGAGAAGGACTGCGACACA